TTTATTAAATAATATTCGCTTAAGGTTTTTCATGTTTGAAATGAAGCGTTTATAAGGTTAATACATAAAAGGGAAAGGGACTGAGGAAAAAAACTATAGGCCAATAGCTAAATTGTCTGCAATTCCCGAAAATTTCGAAATTATATGATTCCGTTTACAACCATTGCACGCAATTTATTGCAAGAAATCAACACGGTTTAATGACCCCTGCACTTTGAAATCTCTTTAATCTTGTCTTGTTTGTCCACATCGTAAATACGCAACGGAGGTTCGGTTTCTATTTTATGACATTCACAGGAACAGAATTGAGGTTATTCAAAAAAATTCGCGTTGCGTGGCCTAATCTTGCCCCTTTATAAATTTAGATTAAAACTAAATGACATAGCCACGTTGGCTAAAAGACGAAAAATCGCGAACGATGTGTTTATTTTCCAAATCGGAGCTCATATCGCCCGATATTCAGAGTAAAATTTTCACTAACTATTCACTGATTATAGTATGCACAAGCTGGTAAACAAAATGCTGCATTTTGAGAATAAATATAAGGAAAATTTAGATTTTGCAGTAATGAAGGATACATTAAAACGCTTTATACGCTTGACAACTAGATTACGCCTTTTTTTGTTTTATTTACTTTTTTTCTTTTACATTTGAATATGTACCAGTATTATAGCTTATTACTATAACAAAATTATGATTTCTTTTTTTTAATGGTTGATTGCTAATTTTCGATCTTGTAACTAGATAAAAAGAAATAAATAATTACCTGTACCTGTATAATTATAAAAGTACCTGAATAATATTTTAAAAGTACCTGTATAATAAATAGAAATAAATTATTAGTTTGCAATATGTATAATAATTATAGATCTTATTGTAAGTTTTCGTTGTAAAAAAAAATTAAATTTAGTGTGTGCAATATTTTCGCCTACAGCAAAATTATTTCTTTCACTATTTCCTGATTCTTCAACCATCTTTTAAAATATCGAGCATATCCATAGTACCACAACGATGATAGTATATATAATCGCTGATTGCCGCTTCCTAACACTATGATCTTTTTGTTTTACTTAGGGTGATAGCAGGATTTTATTTTCATCATTTTTCTTTTTTACTTTTCTGAAATAGCATCTTCGTTTGTTTTTCCAATAGATAGTTTTATTCTTTTTTATTTCAAAAATTATGTGGGTTTGTATTGTATTTGGTTTTCCTGCTAGAAATTTTTTTCTCTTTCAGGGTTCCAATTTAATATTCCAGTTTTCAGTGTTACGTCCATATTCGGAAAAAAATTTATTACAAATAATTTTATAATAAACAACTTTGTTTTAATTTAAGTTGTCTTTCTTTAAGTTGTATTTATTAACAGCATATACACTATTAAAGACGTTAAAAAAATTGATTCGACATTCAACTTTCAAAATTGTTGAGAAACATAACAATTCAATCGATATGTTGAACAAATAATGGTTAGCACCAGACTTGATTAAGGCAATCTGACAAATGATTATCAATTTCTGGAAAATTTAATTTTACTTTAATTCAATTTAATGAAAAAAAATTACAAAATAATTTATTCCAAATTTATGAAAACTTAAAAATGTCTTTAAATACTAAAAATATTTCCTGCTTGGTTATGTACCGATATCGTCTTGTTATTCACTTTCAAATCAGAATTCTCGTTTTCTTAGTTTTGTGTGTATTTTTTCAAAAAACAAAAGTAATCATTTATATTTAGATACACTTCTTAATTAAACTTTCTTCCTTTTTTGCTCAAAATGTTGACTAAACTGAACTCGTGAAATTTACTCACAATTTTCATTTCTCACTACATATGTTTTTGATGAAATCCTAACGCAATTCGTTGGTTGAATTAAATGAAATTTTATATATATATATATTTTTCATTTATTTCAAAGTCATGGGAGCTATAGAGCTCGTATAGAGTGATTTAAGTGATTGTAAATAACAGTTTTTTAAGTCAAAAGTAATAACAAACATAATTAATACAACAACAAAAAAGAAAATTTAATATACAGTTTATTTTAGACCTTACTACTATAGGTAATTTAATTATACAATATTATAGATTTACTAATTTTTGTAAAAATTTAAAATTTTTTTTTTCTTTATAATCCCTTACATTTGACTTTAATTTCTAATTCACTTTGCAAAGAAGTACAAAATATAAAGAAGTATGAATTCATTTATAATATGTATACAATAGTATTTTGTGTTTAAATACATTTTTCATAGTATTCTTTTATTTTTTTTTTTTAAACATTAATTTTTTTTATATTTCTTAATTCTACAAGTAATTCATTATAATATATCTTATAAGCTGTATTATAAACTGAATCAAAGTTATTAAACCATATACCTGCACTTCGTGAAGGGTATATTAACTTTGGTATGGAGTTTGTAACTACTTGAAGGAGTCATCTGCGATATGGACATATATATATATTCTTGCTCAGCGTAAAATTCTGCGTTGATTTAGACATGTCCGTCCGTCCGTCCGTCCGTTCGTCTGTCCGTTCGTCCGTCCGTCCGTCCGATCGCACGATAACTCAAAAACGAATAATGCAATCGACACCAAACTTTCACAAGTTGTTTCTTTTGTGCCAAGGACGAACCCTATTGTTATTGGACCAATTCGGACAACGGGTTCGGGTAGCTGCCATACAACTCAAAGAGTTTATTTTAATTATTTCAAAAACTAATAAAGGTACAAATATAAAATTTTGTATACACATGTCCAATTATATTCTACATATGCTCTAAAAATTTTAATGAGATAGCTGCGCCGGTTCGGGTGGCTGCCATACAACTCCAAAAGCAAATTTTTTATTATCGGCAAAATAATAAAGTCAGATTCATGAAACTTGGCAGTCGTGTGTCCAATTATAGGTCAAAGATATTTCTGAAGTTTTGGTGGAGTTGCTTGACAGGTTCGAGTGGCTCCCATACAACTCCAAAAGCTTATTTTAAATATTTGGAAAAATAATAAAGTCAGATTCATGAAACTTGGCAGTTGTGTGTCCAATTATAGGTCAAAGATGTTTCTGAAGTTTTGGTGGAATTGCTTGACAGGTTCGAGTAGCTCCCATACAAGTCCAAAAGCTTACTTTAAATATTTGAAAAAATAAAAAAGTTAGATTCATGAAATTTGGCAGTTGTGTGTCCAATTATAGATCAGATATATTTGCGAAGTTTTAGTGAAATCGCTTGGCAGGTTCGGGTACCTGCCATACAACTCCAAAAACTAATTTTAAATATTTGGAAAAATAATAAAGACAGATTCATGAAACTTGGCAGTTGTGTGTCCAATTATAGGTCAAAGATATTTCTGAAGTTTTGGTGGAATTGCTTGACAAGTTCGAGTGGCTCCAATACAAGTCCAAAAGCTTATATTTGGAAAAGTAATAAAGTTAGATTCATGAAACTTGGCAGTTGTGTGTCCAATTGTAGATCAGATATATTAGCAAAGTTTTAGTGGAATTGCTTGGCAGGTTCGGGTACCTGCCATACAACTCCAAAAGCTAATTTTAAATATATGGCAAAATTGTAAAGTCAGATTCATGAAACTTGGTAGTCGGATGACTAATTATAGGTCAGACATATCCGTGAAGTTTCTATAGAATGGTTTCACAGGTTTGAGTAATTGCTATACAACAATGAAAGGTGCAGGGTATAATTCAATCGGCTCATACCGACTGAAACGTTTTTACTTGTTTTTATATTATTTGCTATTCTGGCGTTACAATTGTGTGTATTTTTATTCAATATAATTACTGTATTTGTGTTTATGCTTTCAGACAACATCATATGTACCTGTGATGCCAATTTACTTTTTATATGTAAACTCAATGGTAAAATCTTATTTTCAATATGAATTTTTCGCGTTGCCGTTCTGTATTTATATCCAAATAAATTTTTGATGGCTTTATTCTATGTTCTCTGCAATTTATTCATTGTATATATCAAATGTATTACCCCAAATTTGAATATTATATGTTATGGTAGAGTGGAACATACTGTAATAAACTGACTTTTTTAACTTACGTGGAACTCTTGTTGCTATCAACTTAAAAATTCCAGCTATTTGTCGGGCTTTTTTAGTTTGTTGTAGAATCTGCCGTTCCCACGATAGCTTTTCATCGATTATTATACCTAGGTATTTATATTCTTTCACCATTTCTAGCTGACAGTTATTGTAGGTTATATTAAGAAAGTCCTCTGGTTTTCTTTTGAAAATTATATATTTTGTTTTTGTAGTATTAATATGCAGTTTATGCCTATTCATTCGGGTTGTTATGAGTTCTATATCTTGCTGTATAATATCTTCCAATTTCAACATTGATGATTCATCATATACAATCACGAGGTCATCTGCGTACATATAGAGAGTACCTTTCAATTTGATCTTTAATAATCCACTTACGTAGACCGCAAATAACGTTGGACCCAGAGAGCTTCCCTGTATGACACCGAAGGTATTGTTTTCTGTCTGACTTTTTATTTTGTCACATTCCGCATATTGAACTCTATCATCCAAATAGCTTTTGAACCATGCATATTCCCTACCAAGAACTCCGTATTCTATCAATATTTTTAGCAATATTTTACGGTCTACCGAGTCAAACGCTTTCTTTATATCGAAAAAAATAGCTACAACTTTATTGTTTTTATCTATACCAGATTGTATTTTCGATATTACATCAAATAGCGCCGCTTCAGTGCTTGATTGTTTTTTAAAACCGTATTGCTGTTTGCTCAATAAATTTGAATTAAACAAATAGTCGTTGAGTTGTTTATTAACTATAGTTTCTATTATCTTACTTATAACTGGAGCTATAGGAATTGGTCTGAAATCTTCTGGAGCATCATTACTACCTGTATTTTTACACACAGGAATTATTTTGCATGTTTTTAGGGTATTTGGCATTTTGGCTTGAGATATTGTTTTATTGATTATTTCAGTCAAAATATCTACTAATTCTTCTTTACATTTTTTGATAAATAGTGTTGGTATATTATCAGCCCCGCAGGAATTGGAATTTGAGAAATTAGTAATCAAATTCATAGTATCTTCTCAAAAAATTGGTCTAAATTGTAAACAATTCATGTGTCTGGTAGAAGGTAAAAATAATGGGTTTTCAAAATTTTTCGCCATATTTTCACCTACTTTTGCATAAAATTTATTAAATATATTGAGCTCGTTGATTTTATCTTCTTGTAAACTACAATTCGCATAAAACTCATTTTTTGTTTTTTCAGTTCCAATTAGTTTTTGTAGAACAGCTGTTCATTTGACATCTTATTAGTAGATACATATATTTACATTCACCATTTCTACAATTAATCCCAGATGTTCGGATAAATCATGTTGAAAAAGTGATATATACATTTCAGCTGTTGGATCGCTAATTAAGACATGATCGAGGCATGTTCCACTAATTCGCCTGGTAATTTCATCATGGCAAATACTATATCCACTTGACTCAATAATTGTTTTGTAAGTATGTACATTTCTATCTAATACATCTCTTAAATTGAAATTAAAATCACCAAAAATTAAATTTTTATTTGTTCTTAGGTCTGCAAGATGAGATTCAAATTTATCTAGAAATTAGTTTATGTGGTTTTGAGTTGTTTCAGGTGGTCTATAAAAAGCCGATATGTATACCATACTTAACATTTTTGTAAATAAGATTTATGCTCACAAGACTGTTAAATTCATCACAATATATTTCAATTTCTGAGTATGACACCCTTTCATGTACATACAGTGTAACACCACCACCCCGTCTTCCAGAAATTATTGGTTCTCTATAATCGTTGATTTTATAAGAAAAATTGGCATCATCGATTTTGAACCAAGATTCCGATATAACTATTAAATCAACAATGAAGTGAAGTTTGTCTAACATATACGCAATATCATCAAGTTTATCTTTTAAGCTTCTAGCATTAAAATAAAGAATTTTTAGTGAATTATTTCTGTTAATTTTAGTTTGGAAAATATCTTCGTTATTGGATTTTACATAGGTACTTTGAGGTAAATTGAACGCTAAATTATTGTACATTAAGGTTGTTATCTTCTGTTACAAGTATAGCCTTACTATTAGAATTTTTTCTTATAAACAATTTACCCTCTTTCACCCATATAAATTCGATAACCTTTTGCTTTTTTAGTTCTCGTGCTTTTTTGTAAAGTAATTTGAAATAACAAGTAAGTCTTTCATTGCAGAATATGGTATTGTCGTTTGTATTTTCTATCTCATTTTCAAATATTTTAGTTGTAATAGTTTTTTTCTTCATGGTTTTTAGAATACATATTAGTTTTTACTTCAAGATTAGAAAATTTAACAATAATTCTACCAGACTCACCTGACCTTCTTGATTTATTTTTATCTACAAATACTTTTTTGATATCCTTTTGATCGATTTCTACTCCTACACTATTTGTTATTTTGGTAGCAGCTAATCTGGGGTTCTTATTTTCATCTACAGGAACACCACTAATTTCGATATCCTTCAGTATCCTATTTTGTTTAATTTTTTCGATTTCTATTTTTGTTTTATGAATTTCAAATTTAAGCTGTTTATTTTCATTTTGAACCTATATACTGTTTTATTTCATTAACCTCTTTTTTGAAATTCAGAAAGTCTAAGCGTAGTTCCGCTTGATTCTTTATTATAGTTTCTAATTTTAATTTAGTCGTCGCAACGAATTAGAAATACTAAAGAAAGAAGCATCTGTGTTCCTATTATCGCTTAGACCATGGATGTCAAGACTTTTGAAACTATGGGCCAATTTCCAATATTCTGTATGACAAAAGGGCCAGAAAATAAAACAATTAATTCAATTTTTAAGGTGTATAAACGTTTATTTATTTTTTATTAGAAGTACTGGGAGCTGAGTGACACTGCTTCTGTTGAACAAGTCTTAAAATATTGGGTTGCATATTTGTAGTAGCCAATTGGGTTGCATATTTGTAGTTGTAATATTTTAACAATTCGTTTTAGAGGGCCGCACCAAAATAAGAAAATGGCCGCATGCGGCCCACGGGCCGCGCTTTTGACATCCATGGCTTAGACTCCCTAAAAAATCGTATATTGAAAAAACATAGTGAAGCCAAAAACTTCAGATAAGTCTCTTTCTTTGCTCCGAGCATTGTCAAGCTGAAATTAACATTAAATGCCAAATATATAGAGTAAAGAAAGAAGATTTTGTTATTTAATTATAAAATTAGTGCAGTTTTCAAATAAAATATTTAATAATAAGTGTTTAAAAAAGAATATTATTTTATAATAACCTATAAAAATCTACAACAAGTGGAAAAAACAAAAAAAAAATCTGATGTGGTCAGCACATAAACGACCTAATGTGTCTTGCTTAGAAAGTGTTACAGAATATTATAAAAATGTCTGTTAAATACTTCTTTCCAATTTTTAGGACATTAGTAAGCTTATACTTAACATACGTAGAAAAATGTAAATTTGGCTCTTAGTAGAGTTTCGCTTTGTGCTACCCGAATTCCCTGAAATGCTCGCCAGTTAGTTTCGGTAACAACCAGAAGTCAAATATCAAATTTCAAGAAATACTATCAATTTGTTCTGTGGATATAGTGAAAAATGTAAAATCGGCCCGCAAATCAGTTCTCGAGCCCTGATCTTTCCAAAAAAGTTATATGTTCATTGCTTTAATATGAGGAATTCATATATTAAATTTCAATGAAATCGGTTGATTATTTCTCTTTATATACACAAAAATGTATATTTGGCCCGTAGTAAACGCCCAGTTGCTGATGCCTGATTTCTTCCAAAAGTTAGGAATTTTTGCGTATGATCGAGCAAAGCTTATATATGAAATTTCAAGTAAATCGGTTGAATACTTTCTTCAAAATGGTGAAAAATGTAATATCGGCCCGCAAATCCGTTTTCGAGCCCTGATCCTTCCAAAAAATTTATATGTTCATTGTTTTAATACGAGGAGTTCATATATTAAATTTCAATGAAATCGGTTGATTATTTCTCTTTATATACACAAAAATGTATATTAGGCCCGTAGTAAACGTTTAGTTACCGATGCCTGATTTCTTCCAAAACATACGAATTTTTGCGGACGGTCGAGCTGAGCTTATATATAAAATTTCAAGTAAATCGGTTGAATATTTTCTTCAAAATGTTCAAAAATGTAAAACAGGCCCGCTAAAAAGTGCAGTTCCCGAGGCCTGATATATACCAAAAGTTGATCGATCCGTGCTATGGTGGAAACGAACTTACATATGTATAAAATTTCATCAAAATCGATTCAGCCGAACTTGAGATACACGCGTGCAAACACAGACCGACAGACCGACAGGTTGCTAAAAATAGTTTATTTGCACTTCCCTATTATGGAGAAGTACGTTCCCACCGAAAACTCGATATGCAAAATTTGTTGCCATCACATAACCTACCTATTGTTTACACAATACGGTCGGTAAAAATTATTGAAAAAGAAAAAAGTGTATATGTAGTTTTAAATTGTTATTCCCATTTGAAAAAACAAATAATTTTATTACACCATATATGTACATACATATGAATAAATTAAATCGTCGTAGTTGGAAATTTGGCCTGCGGAGCAGAGTGGAATTGGAACACATTTGATTGTTAAGTTGTTTCTCATTTATGTATAAACAATCAAAAACAAAGATGACCTTTTGTATAACCGCACGTATCAAATGAATGTGTTTAATTTAAATAAATATATTAATGAGTTTTTATTTATTTTTATCATGTTTCCAAATTAATAAAAATAAGTAATTGAAAATACGAAAATATTTTTTTTCACTTGAACTGATTTTGCAAAAGTAGCAAAGTAAATGTTGGAGGTAGTAAAGCAATAAGTCATATTGTTAAATCATTGTTCATCTTTAATATATTCTTTGCTTATTCTAAACAGGTCGCTGAATTTTGTCATTCCCATTGAGCGTTGCTTCACCGAAATCAGTTGATTACGTTGCAGTTGTCGTTCTCATTGAGCGACGGGAGTAAGTCTGTCTCGTATAAAACTTGAAAGAACTTTAAAAAATGAAAAATATGATGTTACTTGTTCCAATGAGAAAAAAATTCCCGTTTAAAAAAAAAAAAATCAGACGGTTGGAAATCGGTTATATGAACGTCGAATGTCGATATATTTATCCAAAATAATCAATTATTTTTTTATATGAATGTGAAATTTAAAAAAATCATTTTTCAATCCATTTTACTTATTTACATACATTCAATTACCTATCCTTATTCCTATTACACTAATATACTATAATAATTAAAAATATTATTTTTCCAGGCGGATTGGGCCACGAAATATCCACGGTTAGGTATGCTAGTGGTAAGAGTCCACTAAAATCGAATAAAAATCCATACGTGACGGATTCACAATAAGCGGCTCTTTGGTCTGGGATTGATCCCTTAGCACTGGCAGAAATTATATGTGCTTCCTTGCACGAGCGAATTATTCTCAACGGCTAACAGAAGAAAACCCGGAAAAAAAACAAAGCACATGCAATGAACAAAACACAAGGATTGTATTCCACAGGTGGTAATCCAGTAATGCTGGGAAATCCACACTCTTCGGAGGCTGGTCTCATGGATTCTCATGACAGGAGAGTAAATTAGATACTCAGGACTCGAGAATAACTGAGTTAGCGAGTCTTCATAAGGTGCTGCAAAACGTAATCTGCAAATTACAAGCAGAGAACGTAAATTTAAAAAATCAAATAAAATGTGCATCAACAGAAAAGAAGAACAAAGATGCGGAAGTTATTGTATAAGAAACCGACGAGGAAGAACTGCCTAGAGAAACTGATTGGATCCTAAAACAGAATAATGCAAAAAAGCGAAAAATGGAGAAATATCCTAAAAAAATCAGAGAAGACAGTTAAAATAAATAATAAAACCAGAAATAAAATTAAGGCTGAAAATTCAAAGAAGCACAAGCCGGTTAAATGGAGCAACATTAAAAACTACTCCCACGTTAAGTTCAATATGACGAATAATGACAAATTAGAAATAAATGTGGAGAATGAAAATGATTACAGATTGCTAACAAAAGCTATAACTAAGGCTAGACTAAAGTGGCATATGTATGAGAATGAGCTGGCAAGGTCAGTTAAAGTTAGAAATCTCCATTCAAAGGCTTTAAATGTTTAGATGTTGCAAATAAAATCAAAAGGAAAAAAGAAAATGGAAGATATATTTAATTAAAACTTCCGCTCTTTATGTTGTCTTTTGACCATTCGAAAAAGATAACCAAAATCTATAAAATAGAATCCTTAAGAGTAAAAATTGAAGCTCTTAAAAGCAGCAAGTCCATTCCGCGATGCAAAAGATGCCAGAGATTTAGACACATAGAAAAGTTTTGCCAAAGTGAGGATAAATGTGTAAAATGTGCTGGTAATCATATGACAGCAGAGTGCAACAAGAAGGATAATTTTCAGCCCAAATGTACGAACTGAGGTACACCTTGCTAGCTATCGAGGTTGTTTGGTTGCAAAAGAATTGCAACCAAACTCCAATCAGTCTGGAACATTAATGTCCCCTCAGACAATAGTCTCATCAGTAGAATTTAGACTGCTACACAATTTTCCTCCGCCAGAAGAGTTTCTTATAAGCACCAGATATAGAGTTAGGTGGAACGTGACAATAAACTTTGACTAAGTTCTTGGTTTGAAACTCAATTTTAACAACTATGATTTTGGATTTTGGAACAAGGCTAGCGGGATCCGCTATCAATGGGATCCGACACGTACAGTTCTTTTCTAAAAACAATATACGCAGACCCGAATATCTCTAAATCGTTTATTGAAGAGGAAAGCAGATCCGAATATCGTAAATCGTTTATTGAAGGGGAAAGCCAAGTCTCCAATAACGGAAAAATGTCGCAGCCTATGATGGCAGAGTTGATAAGAACTGTACTCGTCTTAGTTGTAAGTCCATGAATGCCCTGATAATATTTTGATATATTCCTCCCAGATGTTCTTGTTAGTCGAATGGTTACCAAACAATTACGTGTGGACCTAGGGACGGTTTCGGCTCTATTTGAACCATCATTAAACTACTTTGAGCTGGAAGAGGGTAAAGAACGAAAAGACTTATCAGTAGACTCTATCGTTTTTTTGCAAATAATAAACCCACCTAGTATTCAAGTGGTTACGATACATGGTCAAGTCCCTATCAACCAAATCAGGATCCACATTAAGGTTGAGGTGATATCTCCTAAAGATCTTAGACAAAGCATCGTAATCCGAAAGTAAGTTCGCACTCTCAATAAATACTTCAATATCAATTTAATCTTTCCCTGATGGTGTACGTGATCGACCGCGTTGTACAAGTAGGCTAAGTACAGTTTCACATTTTCGTAAATTATCCAATCCCTAAACCGAGAAAGTATTATTATTATTATTTTTATTATTATTATTTTTATTACTGCTATCATTATTATTATTGCTATTATTGTAATTATGATTGTTGTTATGGTACGTATTGTTTAAGGCTGCTATAATTTCTTTCTTAATTATTTTCGACTTTCTTTCTGTCTCTTTTATATTTTAAATCCAACAACTTTCTACCTCAGTACGCGGCTTAATAACTTGTTTGAATTGAAAAAATCTGTATGTATGTAAGTATATATACGAGGTGATTATATAATATTGTTTGTATATACATATAAAATTAGTTGTCAAATTCGATGGTTTCCGAGATACAGGGATTTTAAAGAAATTTCACGAAATTTGTACTTGCTAAAGTTTTTTTGCTTATAACATCCCTTATGAAAAATTTAGAATTCTTGTGCATTATTTGTATTTCATGTACTTTCAGAATACCAATCAATCGAAGCTTATAATTACGTTTCTTTACCGATTTATGATACAGGAGTTATAGCACAAAAACTATTTCTATGTCCAGATTTAAATGCCTTGATAAAATGTAAAAAATCAAAAAACTCTAACTAGTTTTGATTTTTATTTATTTAAGGTGCTATAATTATCAACAATTATTAATTTTTGATCACAATGAATACTCTAAAAAGCAGCTGATATTTTGGTAAAACAATGAGATTTTAAGAACTTTATTGAAGTACAAAAAATTTTTGAGAAAATTCCGGTGTTGTTACTTTATTTCAAATTTTTGCTATGAATGCTCAATTGTTCAAATTATTCCGAGAAATTTTCAGTTTTGATAAGAAAAACAATTTCCGCCTCGCAAATGTTTATGCCTGAGCTACATCTAGTCAGCTTAAAATATCAGATTATCTTAAAACTTAAAATATTAAATTATATAAGGCAGTCCGAAATCGCAAAAAATTACAAAATTCTTCATGTTTTCGCAGTATTCAGATTGAAATATTTTTTTAATTTTTTTTGTATAATTTTTGAGCATTCTTTGTTTTTTATCACTTATTTATTCACTTAATTTTTTTATCACTTCATCTAGTTTTAAAAGCGATTTAGATTATTATATTTTTTGTTCTGCTTTTTTCTTTTTAAATTGAATTTCGTATTCAAAAATTTTATTTTAAATCAGTGACCTTCCATTTGGAAGAAAAGAAATTTTAGATGGAATTTACTGACCGATTTTTTAAATTTAAATTAATAAAAATATGTAGATTCTGTAGAGCTAAATACATTAATCAATTTCCTTCACACAAATAATTTCCAACACCCCTTCCATTTAAACTCTATAAATTTGGAATTTATTTTTGGGTTACTTCTGAGATTGGTGCCCTTATAAATATGTATGGCATTAATTAAACTATAAATAAATATCTTGCATTTTCGGTGAGTTATTTAAAATTATTAAAATATATATGTACATATACCTATATAATACAACAGTTTTGTATAATATTCATACATAGAGTTTCGTAAACCATTAGTATACAAAGTTTCATACACTATTGGTATATAGTTTTGTATACTTTTGGTGTATGGAGTGTCACATTTTACTGGGCACTCATGTACTTAAAGACATCATTGAACTCTCAATACTTTTATTAATTTTCGTCTTGGTTTTACTTATCAATATTTTGTAACCCATTTTTTTCTACTTGATCTAATAGCGATTTCAGTTTTAGGTCGAACTGCTCACACCTGATCGGCATCTCAAGCGAATAAAAAGGATTTTTTAAAACAAAATCTGAATACAATTCATAAATTTTTTTTAGCAAAACATTAATATTAGTAATTCCACTTTCGGATATCAGCATAAATTTCACACCTGCAAACGTTAAACTTATTGTAATTTAAAGATATATTTTTGAAAGTCTTTACCTGTTAGTGTTTGAAAACAGTAGAGACAAAATGTATCGGCTTCTAATATTTCTATTCCTGAACACTTCGGTTCTGGACTCAACTGGCTTGCTATTGCAAATAATGGATAAAACATGCTTGCTAGAAAAATTTTTTCATTAGTTGTCATTTTCGGTCTTGCAAACTTTAAATTCAGGGGATAATTGCTTTGATTTTGTACAATATCTTTTACTGCTCGACCATCCTCCAGAATTTCTCCGTTCACTGCAACACCATTAACTGTGGTCAAAATGTGACCAACTAAAAAAGTCGCATAAAATAATTGCAAATATTAGCTATTATTTTACCATTTAAACCATCTTTTCGCCCAAAAATTATTGAAATTTTTTTTGTATCGTATTCTAATACGAGGTCCAAAGGATATCCAAATGTTTTTTCATTTTCTATTTTAAACACACTATGATCTAAATTATAAATCAACCCACCAGATTTGCTAACTATGTAAATTCCATACACTAACATTGCTTATTAGAGGTTGGCTTAGTAATTGTATCAATTCTCGATTAAATATATTTCGAATTTTGATTTAAATATTTTTCTCATTAATTATATAATATCTACGTTTCTTTTGAAAAACAAATAGAAGACTAACTTATGAAATTTCTGCTTTATTGATTAAAATAACATCTGACAAAAAAATTACAGCTTCGTCTAAATTTTGACTAAAACTTTTTCAATATTCCACTTTGAAATTCCTTTTAGGGCTGCCGTTTATTTATTAAAAGACGACTTTTTCAGCCAATCATAAAATTTACATTTTAGTATTTAATACTAAAGAAAAGGGTCAATCTCGTTTGCACTCCCTAAAATATCTTGAAAAAAACACAGTGAAGTCAAAAGCTTCGGGTAAGTTTCTATGTTTGTTCCAAGCGTTGCCAATGAAAATTGACATTAAATGCCAAATGTTTTCTTGGGAAAAGCAAGCGACGCTGGTAAAAGAAGATGAAGTTATTTTTCTTTGGTTTTTTTTAAATTAATGTAGTTTGTGAATGAAAAATTATAAAATATTTTGAAAAAATTATTGAGAAAGACTTTTATATAATAAAATTTATAAAAAAAATATAAGAAAATGAAAAGAGAACAATTTTTTTCGAAGAAGGTGAAGGTACAAATTTTTATTCTCATTTGAAAAAATAAATGAATGTTTTTCATCAAAAAAATAAAAAAATTTTCTAAAAATTAAAATAATATTTATTCAATAACTCAGCATTTACACATACAAGTTACTTGCAAGCAAGTTTGTATAATATTAATTGTCAATTAGTTTTTCGAAATGTCAAATTACTTGCTATTATGACGTAGGCGTTTAGCAAGTTAATTTTTGAAAATGTCTTTGAGAAGAAAACAACTAGCAATATATATAATTGTTTATAAATTTTAGAAACCATAAGTTTGCTAAGTTTAATTTTTTCAAAACAAAATTCAAAAATTTTAAATTAAAAAAAAATCAAAACAACAAATTTTTTTTGTGAATTTCTCAATATGTCAAATTACTTGCTCAAATTACTGGCAGCAAAATTTTCTTGCAAGTTGAACTGCAAGTAAACAAGCAAGTAGAAATATTTCAATGTGTTAGTAAAATTTTTGTACGCATTGCAACTTTCTTGCAAGTAACTTGTACGTGTAAATGCTGGGTAACGTTAAGTTTAATTATGAACTAAACTTAACACTGTTGAAATGAATGAATATAGTAGCAAAAGCTATTTTGTTATTGTGTCCAATTCACTTAACATTTTTCATTAAGTTCAATTTATACCACGTACAAATATTTTGTAACTATGTTGCTAAAATTTTACATATGTGATTAAATTGAACATCAATTCACGGAACACAGTTTTTGAATCTCCTTTAACAACTAAAAATATATGTGTAAAACTACTTTGGAGTTCATATCATTGACTTCATATTTTGGCAGTTTAATATAATCGTTGCTATTATGTTAAATCAATAGGCTAAGCTACTTCTTGAATATTGAATGAATCTGAGCATATACATATATTTATGTAAATGTAAAATATTTATATTTAAAAGTTATAAGTTATAACTTCATATAAAATTATATTAAGACTTTTATTCTCCTCATAATTTAGATTTTAATCAAAACTAAGATTAATTTTAATTGACCATATACAATTGATTTGAAAAAAACCTTGTATGTAGAATACTGTATGAAGCATACCTCTGCAGCTTAGTTGCTCTACCAACCAAAAAGCAGTATGTCACTAGTTCTTTTTCTTTAAAAAGTCTTTAATAAACCTTTGTTAAATTAAATTTTATTTTGTGCTAAAATCAAGAAGTTGGCCTTACCAGTAAAGCAATTTTTTAAAAATATTGAAAATACTAATTTTATTATCAAGAACAATTATATATATATATATATATATATACATATGTATAGATATGTTGAGAAATTATACAAATATTTCACAAAAGTTTCTAACTATACACATGTTGTAAAAAATGAAAACAAAAATTGTAATTTGCCAGCTATTCATGTATTATTACATCCATGATATCAGAAACTATTTTATAGACTTCTAAATTCATACAAAAAAACGTGAATATTCTATTTTTCTATTTTTCAGCTTTTCAAAATTTACCAGGGACTATTTTGTAGAACTATCTGACTATTGGTGCAGTGGTTATGGCACCGGCCCTTTAACCGAAGGGTCTCGGGTTCAAACCCCGGTCAGGTCACTATAAAAAAAATTATATTCAGTATTATATAACTTAATATGCAATATTAATAAATATTATACAAGTAATTTTCCAATATTCATAATATTCGATACTAAAAAGACTAAGAAAAATAAACAGTAAATATCAATAACCTCAAATAATTAATATAAATAAAACTACAGCAGGCTAGTCACCTACCTAGTTAAACTCTATGACGCTATGAAACTAGTGCATGAGAAATCATGCACTAGCCCTATGCTCCTTCTAGGAGTGAAGAAGGAAAAAAAAAAAAAAATTTTGTAGACTTAGAATATCACTCAAAAAAACGTAAACATTTGACTTTTCTACTTTTCTGCTTTTTATATTATACTTTTCAGTTTTTTTTGGATGGGAAACTTTTACTTTTCAGTTTTTAAGAAAAATATACTGAAAATTACAAAATATATGAAAATATTCAAGTAGGTACAAAAGCCAAATATTAAAATATAATTGATGACTTGAACCAATATTTCTTTTAAAAAACTGAAAAATAGAAATTTCTCTTTAAAAAGCGTTTTTATGTGTGCGTATATTTATGAAAAATACAAGTATAAATACAAATATTTTTGTTAGAAATACACATCCCCACATACTTATAATAAATATACAATTTAAAAATTTTCCAAAAATAAAATCTTGAAATCCCATTATTCAGTTCGGCAAAATGATATTTTCTCAAAGGAACATTATGTTTTTTTTACTATTAAAAGTACTGACTACGTAAATGTGTAAACTCATAAATAATGAAATTAATAAAATTGGGTCAAACTTTAAATGGTTTGCAAAGGAGCCATTTTCCAGGTGAGAATACTGCTTCTAAAAAAACTGGTGTTAACATAATGCTCGAGTTCAAGAGTTGATTGCGTCATTTATTTTTAGCTTTCATTCAATGAAATTTGAAAAAAAATTCGGAAATATATGCCGCCAAAAATGCGACTTTTACAAATTTATGGTGACGAAAACTTTCAAGGGGGCGAAGTTGGAAAAAAATTTTTATTAGTATCTAAAAGCTAGAAAAGTTTCAGATGGCATCCGCAACTTTTTTGCATTTGAATGTCTATGGTTTCTGTAACATGGTTCTTTGAGATAACTTTTATAGGAAAGGTGAAAATAGCAAACGGATAGAGAGATACTATAAGCACTTATTCTCAAAATATTTGAAGAGTCTTAAAAAAATGAAATAAATGAAAGGCAAAATGATCAACATATTAGCAACAAATTCATCAACATCATTTTTATAAATATTTAAATATTTTTTCAATATCCTCAAAATATAAAAATTTTTTTTTTTTTATTTTTTACGTTTTGTTTTTATGATTGTTTTGTGATTAAAAAAAAGAATTTTAATTTTCTTTTTTAAAATCCTTCTAATTTTCAGTTTCTGAAAAATTTGATTTTGGTGTACGTTGCGACATCTAGCCAAAAAATGTTTCAATCAAGGATCTCTTTCTTATTTCTTCTTATATACATACATATCACTTATGAATTGACTTTATTTGGATAGATGAAGTTTCGACTGTGCTTTAGTGTAGGAAAACCTGCAAATGATTGTGTTTAAGATGTAAAAAATCTTGAAAATACTTTTATAAAGTTAAATGATGGCAATGTAGGGCTTTTTTGGAAATACATCTACGGTTAACACTGAAATATTTTTCGAATTGTGTATCCAAAATTTTTTCGATACATATGTTTTTTTATACCCTGCACTTCGTGAAGGGTATATTAACTTTGGTATAGAGTTTGTAACTACTTGAAGGAGTCATCTGCGCTATGGACATATACATATATATATTCTTGCTCAGCGTAAAATTCTGCGTCGATTTAGACATGTCCGTCCGTCCGTCCGTCCGTCCGATCGCACGATAACTCAAAAATGAATAATGCAATCGACACCAAACTTTCACAAGTTTTTTCTTTTGTGCCAAGGACGGACCCTATTGTTATTGGACTAAGTCGGACAACGGGTTCAGGTAGCTGCCATACAACTCCAAGAGTTTATTTTAAATATTTCAAAAACTAATAAAGCTATAAATATAAAATTTTATATACATGTGTCCAATTATATTCTACATATGCTCTCAAAATTATAATGGGATAGCTGCACCGGTTCGGGTGGCTGCCACACAACTCCAATAGCAAATTTTTTATATTCGGCAAAATAATAAAGTCAGATTCATGAAACTTGGCAGTCATGTGTCCAATTATAGGTCAAATATATTTCTGAAGTTTTAGAGGAATTGCTCGACAGGTTCGAGTAGCTCCCATACAAGTCTAAAAGCTTATTTTAAATATTTGGAAAAATAACAAAGTCAAATTCATGAGACTTGGCCACATATATTTCTGAAGTTTTGGTGGAATTGCTTAACAGGTTGGAGTAGGTCCCATACAAGTCTAAAAACTTATTCTTAATATTTGGAAAAATAATAAAGTCAGATTCATGAAACTTGGCAGTTGTGTGTCCGATTATAGATCAGATATATTTGTGAAGTTTTGATGGAATTGCTTGGCAGGTTCAGGTACTTACCATACAACTCCAAAAGCTAATTTTAAATATTTGGAAAAATTATAAGGTCAGATTCATGAAACTTGGCAGTCGGATGTCCAATTATAGGTCAGACATGTCCGTGAAGTTTCTATAGTATGATTTCAGAGGTTCGAATAATTGCTAACGAAAGGTGCAGGGTATAATTCAATCGGTTTATACCGACTGAAACGTTTTTACTTGTTATATACATACTTATTTCAGTTCTAGTGGAAAATAAATTGAAACAAAATGTTTTCCCATTAAAGTACGCAATGGAATAAAATAATACAAAGCATCAAAATTTTTAAGTTTTCAAATGAAAAATAATATAATGTGTTAAAAAAACAAGATGCATTGTTTTTAAAAAATTAAACTGAAATTTGATGATTCCGAACAAACCGATACATGCATATACATATGTATGTTTAGAACAGGAAATTTTAAAAACTTTACTAGAAAACTGAAAAGTTTTCCCAG